TGGACTTCTGCGTCCTCCGCCGCTGCGCCGCGGCCCATGTAGCCCAGAAGCACCAGTAGCAGCAGCAGTCGAGGCCGCGCCGCCGCCTCTCGGCCGCCAAGGAGGCTGCCTGGCCGTCCTGGTGCGCTCTGGTCACTGCCCATGCTTTCGCCTCCCAGCCTGGTCCGGATCACTGCACACTGGGCTCGCTCGCTCGCGGGCGCCCGGTCCCCGAGCGCGGCTTGGAAACTTGCGCCGCTCCCTGGCTCCCCGCCCGGCGGGCTCACAGCAGACCTTCGGCTCCGGGTCCCCGCCAGAGCCGCTAAGGTCCCCTCGGCAAATTCCCAAGGCCGAGGTGAAGTGGGAAGGGCAGGTCCGGGTGCGGGGAGCCGGCGTGGGGGAGTGGGACCGGCCGGTGCTCTCTGTCGCGGAGTCCCGCAGCCTCGGCGCCCACCGCCCGGGCCGGGCTGCCGGGAGCGAGCGCGACTCCGGAGCCTTTGTCTGGCTCAGCGCTCCGGCCGCCCGGTCCCGCGGCGCCCTCTGTGCGTCCAGCTCCCTCTGTCCATGCCCAGGGCCAGGCGCTGCCAAGAGCGCGCGCTTCCCGCCCAGGGACTCCCCTGGCTGCCGCGCCCAATAGGGCCCGGGTCCCCCCAGGCAGTGCCGGGAAGAGCGCAGGGTACAGGTCCGAGCGAGCGAGTGAGCGAGAGAGCCAGGGAACCGGCGCCCGACGTCCCCGGCGAGTTCCGCGCGGCTCCTGGCCCTTCCAGCCCTCCTCCTCTTCGCGCGTGTGCCGCTCGTTCTTAAAGGGCCAGCGCGCCCCCAGCGCGCGGACCCAGGCAGAAGCCGGCGGTACTACCCTAACGCGAGGCTTCCTATAGCAGGTGCCTGCTGTCCACCCCCCGGTAGGTGGGTGGCCATTTTACTCTCCTCGGAGGGCAGCATATCTACTCCAGTTTTTCTCGCGTCACTTGCATCCCTGCTTCTGGGGAGCTGGGGTGACCCCCAACTCGATCCCCCTCAGAGGGAGGGCGCACAGGAAGGCGTGGTCTCCCTGCCCGGGGAAAAAAGAAAAAAAATCTCCTTTTCGTGCCAGGTGGGTGGAAATGGGGAATACTGAGGCAGAGGTGTTCGAGGAGGGCTGGGGCTGGGGGAGGGACCGAAGTATTGTTTTGAGCTATTAAAAACAAAGCAAAGCAAACAAAACAGAACCTTTGAAAGTTTGTTGGCCCAGAGGTCTGGCTTCAAAAGCCCCAGCATAGCGACGGGGATTTAGCTCAGTGGCGCCGCACCTGCCTTGCAAGTGCAAGGTCTTGAGTTCTATCCCCAGTACCGAAGGTGGGGGGGGGGGCTCAGCGTGTGGCCTTTTCGTAGCAAAGTGAGAAGCTGGGTGCTTGGAGTGCACGGGGCAACTGACGGAATATAGGATTAGGAGTGGCACAGTTTTGGCCCGCCTTCCCATTTACCTGCTGCAAGGACGTGAACAAAATTTTTTGAGCCTCCGTGTCTTTATCTGGAACGTGGGACAAAGAGTTGGGATTCTGGTCCTGGTCTGCACACATGAGGTTTCTAAGCAGAAGTCATCCATCACTTGGCCACTGTTATGTGCATGAGAAATACAACAGTGTGGCCCTGACAAAGAGCTAGAATGGCGGGCAAATCTTCCTGTGGAGTTTGATGTGCTAGATTTAATTCTATTCGGGGAGCACTGAGATCCAGGCCTTGTGGGTGCTGGAAGCCAGAGTTGGGGGGCCTGGGTCGAAGGTCACTGAGACTGCGCCCAGACAGGGCAGCCCTGGAGTTGTGAACTGTCTGGTGAGAGGACTGGCAGACAGGTCAGGAGGTGAAATCTCACCTCACCTCCTCACTACTTTTCTTACCTCATGGTGGTTTATCCTAGAGTAGGTCCCAGCTGGCCTCACCTCCTAGAAGTCAGAAGCCTGGCAGAGACACACAGAAATGGCCTCTTTGAACCGATCGCTAAGGTGAAGCAAAACACCAACATGGACGTTATTTGGTGCCTGGCAGAACTTTCTGGGGGAAAGAAAGTTGGGAGTTTGGTGAAGAGGTCAAAAGAACTTCATCCATTTCCACTAACGTCTCGCGAGTCCCTCATTTGGGAAATGGGTCTCTAAATTCTCTCCTTTGAAATTACTTTTGGGAAATGTAGTGGTCTTCAGAAATGGACTCCAGTGTTGCCCCCGTGTAATGGAAACACACTGCAATTTTTTACAATGTTTATTCCCAGTTAGAAATTTTTTTTTTTTAAATTGTGTTTATGGGGCTACCAAGTAAGAAAGGAGCCCAGGAACATGAGCAGCATTGTTAGAGGTCTGTGATCAGACAAGTCTGGTGATTGGTTTCTCTCTTTTGGAGGTCCCTTATGGGGTCAGTCCTATCTTAAGGTAATGGCTTCCCCTGTGACAGGTTCCCAATGATTGGTTCTGGCTTCTGTAAGTAACTTGGGCCTTCCAAGGTGGGTTTATATATCTAAACATCACGAGTTGACTAAATTTCCAACCCATTTAGCCAGCACCCAAGATGTGAAGGACCAGTGTGGGACTGAGATGTGTGAACTCCAGCCCTTCCTTAACTACCTTTGAACATTATCCACATTTTGCCAGTATCACCTTCTCTGTACCTTGACACCCTCCACACGCACACTTTCTTTTCTTGGAGTCTTGAATCAAAGTCTACACATGGCATTTCATAGCACGGTTTTATGTCGAGGGGCTGATGTGGTACAAGGAGTTGTACAAAAAGCCCTGAATTAGATGCCAGGTCACTAGGCTCCTGCCCACACCCTAAGTTCCTGGATGATCTGCAGCATATTATTCTCTGAGGGTTTGTTTCCTCATTTGTAAAAGGAGGGTTCTGACCCAGCTAGTAGAAGTCTCTTGTTCAGTTGCTATGGGCTACAGCTAAGCCCAGGACTCCCCTCCCTCAGCTACCTGGTTCCTGAAATCCAAGAGGAGGCTGCAATCAAGAATAAACCCTCTAGCTTCACTTGCTTTTAGTTACTTGCTTTTATCACCGATTTTAGAGGTCACAGAACTAAGGAGTATACACCCACTAGGTTTGCTATAGATAACACCTCTGAGGTATGGGTCATGGCTATAAAGGCTGCCTAAGTTGTTTTTCAGCAATGTGGAGGAAGCACAAACCATGCTTCAAGTGGGCCTGTGCAGATGTCCATTGGGTGGCATTCTGACATCAGAGGGCCAAATACTCCACCCTCAGAGCATATGTCCTAGGAAGAGCCATGAAATTTGACTGTTTGTGCAGACAACTGGTTACTTCACTGTTCCCTGGCTCGTCACCTTTCCCCATGCCTCAGATCACCTTGTTTCTCTGCTCCATATACCTGAAACCCTGTCCTTGGGGAAGCAGATTTGAGACTTGGGACCCCTGTCTCCCCATTTGATTGCCTAGTGGATAAACTAACTTTCTTGCAAAACTCAATGTGTCAGTGGCTGGCACGCTGCAAGGTGGGCAAAACAGGCATGCTTGGGTAACCAGGCAGTCCTGGGGACTCCTGGTGCCAAGACAAGGAATAACAAACAAGTGGAGGTAATTCCCTCTCCTTTGGAAATGAAGCTGGGGTGGTCCTTAGAGGCAATGGAGAGGGCTGTGGAGGTGATTAGCCAGGTGGCCAGAGGCCAATGAGGCTGTGATACAATCCTTTTCCTGCTCTTTGGGGAACATCTGAGGACACCGAGGCCAGATGTGTTGGGTTTGTACTCTCCCTGGTATGATAAGACTCCCACCAAGAGCATTTCTTGTGTGCCTCCTACCTTAGTGTGGACCCCAGCCTGCCGCACTCTTGCCTGCTGTCTCCGAGCTGTCTCCCGGTTTCTCAGGAGCACATCTCCTCTTATGGAAGAGCCCCAGCTGCTTCTGCACTGTCAGCAGGAGCACCGGCTGAACACACTCTGCTTGAGGCACGCTCGATGTCTGGGTGCTGGCCAAGCCCCTGATGCCCAGCCTCCCCTTCAGCGAAGCTCCTGCTTTCTTCCTCCATTGCCACCTCCATTCTCCATTGAGGAGCCACTTATTGATCTTGGCCCATTTCTCAAAGTGGCTGCATTCTAATCCCATCCACAGGCAGACAGAATCCCAAGCTGCATCCTCCCCCAGGGGAGTACCAGAGAGTTGTTTTGGGAAGTGCAAAGTTGGGGGTGGGGATTCCTCTCTGTGAACCTTGCCTGCACTCCCCATTGTGAGCACCCAGAGGGCCAGACCTCAACTGATTTATCCAAGTGCCAAATTCAGGGCCTGGCACCAAGCAGGTGTCAGTAATGTGGGCTGCACAGCCAGTTGTCATGTTGCGTGCAAGCCAGAAAGTATGTCTGGCTTTCTCTTCCTCTCCAGTGACCTCAAATGCCAAAAAAGCAAGTGACTAGTCAGTTGGAGTCAGCAAATCAGTGTGGCGGTGTTGGGGGAACAAGGCACGGATGTGATTTCCTGGGTCAGGAAAAGGCACAGTTGCAGGGGCCAGATGACAGCCCCTCTGTGCATACCTTCTTTCCAGCCTGAGAAGAGGCAGGCCAAGGGCTGCTGCACCTAGCTGTGCCAGAGCAGGAGTAGAGGTTAGGGTTGAGTCAGGCCATTACCCTGATTTCTCATGCCCCCAGGCAAGTCACTTAACCTGTTTTTCCATAAAACAGTAATCATTTCTACCCTGTTTATTTTTCAGGGTTTTGCCGGGAAGAACAGATGAGAAGGTCTCAGAAAGGACTGAGTATTATAGCATATAAGGTCTAAATGTCTGTGCTTATACCCATGAGTTATGGGGGTGCGACCCCTGCCACATGCCCAGCCCTGCGCAGTCTGTGTGTGTAGACTAGGCAGATGGGTAAACCTCCCCCTCTACTGTGGCACTGCCAGGGCCTCCCAGGCCACCGCAGAAGTCATAACAGAGACTTCCGAGACACCCCCCACACACTGTGAAGCACAGCTGAAGAGGCAGTGGAAAACCCATCTCTCACTTCGGTAATAGAAGAAATCCAAAGCAAGACCCCAAATAAAAAACAAAATTTTTATTTGATGAACATAATTTAAAATTGTAACAAAAATATTTCTTCATCACCAGAAATCCAGTTGACAACTGGAGACAGCTGGTTCTTTACCTCGGTGAGGGCTTGATGACAAAAATCGTGTGCATCCCTGGCCTTCCCTCCTCCGTGTCCCTTCAGAGTGCTCAGGCTGCAGGGAGCAGGAGGAGGTGGCAGAACTGAAGGGGGGGAACGCAGCTCTCTGCCTCTTTGGGAAAGTTGATTGGGAAGCCAGACGTCACAGAGCGTTGGAGGCCTGGCTTCCAGGCATGGCCAAGCCAAAACGAAACATCTGCTCAGGTCTCCCCAGGCACCTGGCTAGGGTGAGTAGGAGGAAGGAATGGAGAAAACCGATGCCAAACCACAAATTAGCAGCTGTATACCTTGGCCCTGAAATGGCCTCTACTGCCATGGGAGGGGGGTGAGAGTCAAACTAAATAATAAAAGAGACACTTCAATCCGCTGAAACACCCTCTCTCCTTTCTTGAGAAGGATGAGCCACTGTATGATTTTCTTTCTTTTTTTTTTTTTTTGGTATCGCGAATCAAACTCGGGTCCTTGCGCTTGCACAGCAGGCGGCAAAACCACTGAGCTAAATCCCTGGCCCCACTATACGATTTTAAAAAGCCCCGGTGTGAGGCCAATGGCATCAAAACAGAAATCACTGCAGAGGGAAGTGGGGGGAGAGGGACAGTTCTTAAAGGGACAAGAGGATTCTGGATGAAGGAGGTGGGTGCTCCACCCTCGTTTTTCTTTTTGCTTAACCTCAGAGCAAGCATTAAGAAGTCCAGGCTGCCCTCTACTGGTGACTTCTAGAAATTACCACAACACCACTGCATCCAACTTGTCCTGGGACCTCCTAGAGGGAGGCTGGAAGCAGCCCTTTGGACTTCTCCATCTCTGCAGCCATCTGCCCCGGCAGAGGGGCCTGGGACAAGCAAGGCTTCTTGTGCTTACTTCAAAGGCATGGAGAAGAACTTGTTCCCAGACTTGCAGCGGACCTGCATGGCCTGCACACGCAACAGCATCTCAGAGTCTTCAAACTCATCCACGATTTCCTTCAGCCAGCAGCCAGGAGAAGATAGTCATATTAAGGGGAATCTGAGACCCAGAGAGTACTATGAACAAAACCAGCCTAGCAGACTCCTTCCGAGGTTGAGCCATGCTGAGTAGGACACGAGCCATGTAGGCTCCGGGCCCTGCATCAGCAAACTGATTCACTCCCCTATATAATCTTGTGAGGTCAGCCCTATCCCTCAACTGACAGATGAGGATACAGATGCTCAGAGCTCTGGTTCACAGAAACCAGTGAAACCAGGATTGTGACTCAAGTCTACTGGAGCTGGAAATCGGAGTTTCCTGCCTTCTGCACAATTAGGCTAAGAGTAAGGTTTCCATGGGCTGCACATTTTTTGTCTGTCTTGCAAAATGTTTTTTAAAAACGTGCCAATACTTAAAGTTGGGAAATTGGAAATAAAAATCCAGATTTCTGGCTTCCCTTAAAATATCGAAGTGCTAGCAACACTAAGCCACATTCCTGCATGGCCTTACTCCCCACTGCCTCCCTGTTGAAGGAAGAGTACCAGCTGCACGTCACCGCTACATGTATACTGTCTCCTCCAAGGGCACCGACAGGAAGGCGAACGATTTCATCTACTTATCAAAACATGACAGGCTCTAAGGGCTGCGTGTTCCTTATACTGGTACACTCTGCCCATTTCCAGTACCTTCCAGGCCCAACCCCCTGACCTTCAAGAGGCTAGCACTGCAGGGGAAGTCTGTGACCTCATTACAGATGGCTGTTCTAGGGCAGTGCACTCAAATCCTTAGCAAGCTTGTGAAAACGCAATTCTGTTTTCTTTGGTCTGGGGTGGGGTCAAAGTATATATTGCTATCCACCCTCCAGTGTCTGCTGATGCTTCTGGTCCAGGGACCACACTTTTGGAGTAGCAAGGTCACTGCGAGGCTCCTGGCACATCACTGGTTTCTTGGGGACTCTGGTATGTATATCTAATCTTTCCCCTCCCCAATGTTCCTGCCATCATTTCTGTAGTTCGGCGCCCTCTGTACACCTGCCCTGGGAATTCACCTGTAATTCCTGCAGGCACTGCCCTTCCAGCTGAAGACATGCATCTCCCACGCACCAGGCCAGACTGATGTGGAATGAAGGGTCCTGGAAAGGAAAAGCGGGGAGGCAAGCCTTCACCTGGATGTCACATCTGTGACAAGAACTGTCAGATTATCCCTACTGGATCCCTGGCCTTCCCTGTGAGACTAGACTCTCAGTGCTGACTCCCAGCACCCTGCACAGACAGACAAAATAACTGGGTTGGTCTGTGCTACAAACTGCCACCAAATTCATATACTGAAGGCCTAACCAGCAGTGTGATGGCGTTTGGAGATTCAGCCTTTGGGAGGTAATTAGGGTGAGAAAAGGTCATGAGGGTGGGGCCTCAGGATAGGATGAGAGACACTGGGAGCGTGTGCACTCCTCTTTCTTTCCCTCCACCAGGTGAGGGCACAGTGAGAGAGCCCTCATCAGAAACCAATCATGCTTGTGCCCTGATCATGGACTTCTACCCTCTATTATGTGAGAAAATGAATTTCTGTTGTTGAAGCTACCCAGGCTGTATTTTACTCTGACAGCCTGAGCTAACTAAGAAAGTATGTTAGGCTTTCCTTTAAATTTCAAATCATCAGATCTGGGGACATGGAAGAGAACCTAGGCTCTGACTATCTTCTGATCTAGAACATTCCAGGAGACACCATACTTTTTTTTTTTTGGTACTGGGGATCGAACTCGGAACCTTGTGCTTGCGAGGCAGGCGCTGGAACCACTGAGCTAAATCCCTGGCCCAATACCATACTTTTCAGAGGAACAAAACCCAAAATATCTAAAAATTTGAAGAAATAATAATTATCTCCATTCAAAATCATACTTACATACTCAGCATGGTTTTAAAAAATGTTATCAAATAGAACCAACAGCCCTTTAAAACCTTTATCCTCAGCCTGACTCCAAGTACACGGATGGGCAGGTGCAATAAGGCACATGAAGCTACTCCTCCTAGGCGCTCAGTTTTATTAAAAAATGCTGGGAATAACTACTACTTAGGAAATATAAAACATAGATGGATACATTTTGGAATAGAAGGCACAAGTCTTGAGCACATTTAAGGTATGGAAAGAGGTTTTAAAAACTGTGAGCCGGGCATGGTAGTGCATGCCTGTAATCCCAGCATTTGAGAGGCTGAGGCAGGAGGATTCCTGGAAGTTTGAGGCCAGCCTGGGATACACAGTGAGTTCAAAGGCAGCCTGAACTACATAGCAAGACCCTGTCTCCAAAAAAATAAAAAATAAAAAAATAAAAATGGTGGACTTTGGAGCCACACACCTCAAACTCTCATTTCCTAGGGAGGTGTCCTCTGTGTGTTGGCATTTGGGACACTCCACAAGGGAAAAGTTCTGGATGTTTTTTTTTTTTTGGTACCGGGGATCGAACTCAGGACCTTGCGCTTGCATGGCAGGCGCCAGAACCACTGAGCTAATTCCCTGGCCCTGTTGAAGGCTTCTTGAAGGATGGTTTTAATCCACTTATAGAAAGGCCAATGGAGAGGCAGCAGCCCCCCTGAAGAAACTAACAATTTCCATTCATTATCTCCAACCCAATTCATTACCTGGTAGAAAGTGGTGAGGTCAAATTCCTCCATGACTCTGTCCACTTCTGAAACTAAGTCCAAGAACTGGGCATACCCCGAGGTGACTTCAAGCCCAACAAAGGTCCTGGGGAAGAGGCAGAGGTACAGACAACATGGGCATCGATGCAGCCTCTGAGAGCACAAACCATCCAAGCAGGAGCAGAGGACAAACCAGATCGAAAGCCTAGAGTTCTGGGCCATGGTCTCAGCCCATCTCCCCAGTGGTTTCCCATGCTGCCCCACCCTCCATCTCTCCATCCTCCCCGTCTTGTCTTTAACCCTTCCCTCGCCAGTTCTAACCCAAGTGTCTCCTCCTCCCCTGCATCTAGTAACCTGTGCAGGGACACCTTCATCCACCACTGCTAAGTCTCTAAGGCCATGAGCTTATGGTCTCTACTTTGGCTCCTGCTGCTACTGACTCCCGTGCACCTTCAAGACTTTGCTCTCTGGCATCTGCCTCCCTCCCACAAATGCTCAGACAGGCTGTCCTTCATTATTAGAACTCACATCTTCAGCCAGCCCCATCGCTTTCTCAATAAAAATTTTTATTTTTTCTGGTACTGGGGATTGAACTCAGGACCTTACGCTTGCCAGGAAGGTACAGTCCCACTGAGCTACGTCCTGAGCCCAAAATTTCTTAAGGGTGATTTGTCTTCTTCCTTTGTTTCCACTTTCTCACCTCGCATCTCTATCCCTTCACTGGAAGCGGTCCTGTCAAACTGCCACATTACCAAATCCAACAGATCTCCTCTCTTTACTCACTGGGCGTATCTGACACAGCTGACTCCTCCCTCCTTGAAAGCCTGTAGCTTAACAAATTTGTGGAGCACAGAACGAAGGAAGAAGTGAGCTCTTTCAGAGATGTTGAGAGAAGAGGGTGGCTCAGTGAGTGAACTGGATAGGGAGGCTTGCTTTGAAGCCTCGGTGATAATTTCTTCTCATGTTCATGTAACTGCTTTAATACTTTTAACTTTCAAAACCTGCTATGCTCATTTGAATATCACAGATGCCCCAAAATGGATAAATCAAGGAGAGGCATGGGACAGTGAAAATGGAAGGTCACAGAGGAGAATGTGCAAGCCTAACATTACAACGGAGGATGAAGCTGGACAGGAACAGGTTCTCTACCTTCACTGGCTTTTCCCCTATGCCAAGATGCTTTGCTCTACCTCGGTAATCCTCTCCCAATGCCCGCCCAGTTCCTTTCCTTAACAAAACTTCATATTTGGGAATGGCTGCCTTGTAGCCACACTTAAAAAACAAATTAAAAAGCACTTCTTCCCTCAATATTTGCACTTACTATCTTCTAGTAGAAACCTGGGGTCAGGAGGACTTACCTGGTCTTCTCTTGATTGGTATAAATCTTTACCTGGTTGGCAGTAAAGAGGAACCTGAAATTTAGAAGAAAGACCATATTTCAGGAAAAATAATAAGAAAAAACAGTTCATGTTTTAAAAAATTACACTTTGACAGGGATTGGGAGTGTAGCTCAGTGGTAGAAGGCTTGCCTGGCATGCATGAGGTCCTGGGTTCAATCCCCAGCAGCAACCAAAAACCCCACACAACCAAAAGGCAGCACTTTGAAAATATAGTTCACTTATTTTTTACTTAATATCTTCACCCCATTATATAAGTGGTATACCTAACCCTAAAATATTAGAGTAGGACAAGACCTTAAAACCACCCTTTCCAAGTAATACATAGCATCATTCAGATGGTCACAAAAATTTACTAAGAGCAGTTCATTCCACAAAACAACTTGAGATTATTCCAACTTTACTGACAAGAACTGAGAAAGTCTTAGTCATCAGGTTGGTGATAATAGATCATTTGAGGGTCAATTCATTCCTTGCAGGTTAAAAAAAAAAAGGACAACTGACTTAATCTAAGCAATAAGAATATTTCTCATGTGCCAAGGGCTGAACTAAGGGCTTGGGGCACATCACCCTGTGGAATTTTCACACAACCCTGTCAAGGGCGCAACATAATTATAACCACTTTCCAGACAGGGAAACAGAAGCTTGTGAGGTTGAATTTGGTGAGGCAGGATTCAAACCTCAGTTCACCTGATCACAAAGCCCTTGTTCTCACCTCTGGTGCTTTACTGAAGCACTTCTGTGTTGGGAGTGAAAACTGGGCAGAAGCACCCGGCACTCACCACTCAGATGGGCCACACAGGGACCAGTCAGACCCAGCAGGTGAGTGCTGGATGTGTTCACTCAGCACTGGAGATCTGAGGGCAGACTGGCTTCCTGCCCCACATGACCAACTGGCAAGTCTCATCACAGGCAAAGATGGTTTCCCAGGCCTGGGCCAGAGGCCTCAAGCAGCTGAGGGAATGCGATACAGAGCATGCTGCAGAGAGCCTCATAGCCCAACTTGCCCAAGGGCATGAAGTCGGCCACCTACTTTCCCCTTCCTCATTCAGCCTTCCACCTCCTGATGCATCCCTTTCTGGGAAAAACAGAGATAAGGGAACCACAAGGAAATTGGTTCTGCATAGATTTTAAAGAGCTCTGCAAGGAGGTCTAACAAGTATTTGGCAGTGGACACCACTCTTCCCCATCCCTGCTCCAGGGGTGGGCACCTGACCTAGGGCTGGCCCATTGGAGCAGGGCAGTCCCTCAGTTGCAATAATAGAATCAGGGGTACAATGCCTACTCTTGGTCATTTTAGGCTCAACCTGACAGTCTAACTCTGAGAGGCCACAGCTGGTTTGGTTTCACTCTGGACCAGGGCTGGAAGCTAAGGGCAGCATCAGATGCATTTCGCTAGAGGGAGTTAACCGAGCAATCCAGGGGCTGTTCTCTGGTCCCCAAGTGAGCAAAGGAATAGCCTCATATGTGCCCCACAGGGACCAATACCTCTTGCAACGAATAGTGCTTGGGTAGAGCTTCCAGAGCCCCCAGCAAGGGGCTTATCCAGGTGAAGAACCAGTGCCGGCAGGGGGCCCGAAGCCTTGGCGTCCCACCAGGGGCCTCCTTCACACATCCTTTGCTCTTCTGAAGCAGCCTGTCATTTCCACCAAAGGATGGTATGCCACTTTGTCCAGTCGAGTAAGAGAAGCTTTCTCACGGAGTGGGGAAAGGGCTTTTAAAACTACTCGAAAAAAAGAGCATGGATGCCACGTCAGACCAATCAAAGTCATTCCCATGACTCTGGCTGAGGCTAACCCTAACTTTTCCAGGCAGCATCAGCCTGCAGATGCTGGTGGCTTTCTTCGTCATTGTGAGAAGGAAGCCAACCCTGAGGGAGACAGAACTGAGACAGAAACAGGTGCCATCTGACATCTGGTCACCACTATCCACCCATGCGTGAAGCCAGTGTGACTTCTGAACATTTTAGTTAAACTCCTTCGTGTTATACCAATTGGGGTTGGGTTTCCAGCACTTGTGATTAAGAATCCTGATAATACACATCTGGCTCAGTAAATTTGATAATGGAATCAAAAGGGGAGCATGGACTGGGTGGAGATGAGTTTTAGTCCTTTTTCTCTGGTTAACTGATTAGACTGGGGCAAATCCTTTCCTCCTCCAGCCCTCAGAAAGGGATCGACTGGAGGGCAGTTTTCCAATTGGGTGGATCTGCACTATGGAATTCCTAGGCCTAGGGCATCCTGAACTGTGAGGGTGGGGCTTCTATTTCTGTCTGTCTCATGCATCTACACAGTGGACATGTGTATAACACCTCATCTGAAGAAAGGCTATGCAGATAAAAATGGGAAACCACCACCTGGATGGCTTCTTAGGCGCTTTCTAGTACCAGCCTTTAGAGGACCCAGAGAACTTTAAGAAAGCTGTTCTCTGGGCTTCATGGTTCCTGCCTAATCATTCTGCAAGCATCTGTTTGATGGAGTAATTAACCAGAGCACCTGGAAAAAAGTAGTAGTGTCATTCAGAGAGAAGTTATAGTCCTGCTGGAACTTGGACTCTAGAGGGAAGAGGGGCACTGGAATGACTGAATATGAGGACAAGTGAAATGAGTTTCATGGCTGTAAAAAGGCACAGGACAGGGAAATCCCTCTGAGCAATTCTGGGTGAGATGCCAACTGAGAGACTCAATAAAAGAGCAGGGTTCTGATCTGGTCATACTTGGCAGGAAAGACATTTCTGTAGAAGATGTATGGAATAGTTAACAGGGGAAATGCCCTAGGCTGGTAGACCAAACCAGAAGTGGGATCAGGTTCTGGCCCTCTACCAGGTGCCATGTGCAGGTAACACAAGACCTCATTCCACCTACAAGCTCCTTCTGAGGCAGCCACCATCCTGTGACCTGCATGCAGATATGAATAATAAGAAATATTACTACTGACACACAGCTCCTAAACCCCTGTATTGTTCTAAGCAGTAGGGGTGCTAAGAACATCTTCTGTTCTATTATTAAGTGTTGACCCTTGTTCCTGACCCAGAGCTCCTAAATCCTCTGGAATTTACTGGGTGATAGGAGTGGGTTTTGCTCTTAAGGGAGGCTTTAAGGGCAACTCCTGGTGGGCTCCTGGATGAGGGAAGGTAACCAGAAAGAGCAAGCCAGACTGGAAGCTTGGAACTTTCAGCTTTACAGCCCTGTCTTCCAGGGAAGGGAGAGGAGCTGAGTTAATAAATACTCAAGCCTCCATAAAACCCCATTTTACAGGGCCTCAAGAGCTTTTGCTGGTAAATAAGAATGCATCCATGTTCTGGGGAGTGGCACCCCCAAACTCCACAGAGACACAAGTGCTTATGCTTGGGACCCTTCCAGACCTCACCCTATACATCTCTTCATCTGGTTGTTTATTTGTTTCTTTTTTTTTTTTTTTTGGTACCGGGAATCGAACTCAGGCCCTTGTGCTTGCGAGGCAGGTGGCAGAACCACTGAGCTAAATCCCCGGCCCATGGTTGTTTATTTGTATCCTTCAAAAACCCTTTATAATAAATCATTGATGTAGGAAATGAATTGTTTTCCTGAGTTCTGTGAACTGTTTTAGCAAATGATCACACCCGAGGAGAGGGGCACTGCAGCCCCTAATTTGTGGTGAAATTAGAAGCTGTGAGAAACCTGGGGACCCAACACATGCAGTTGGCATCTGAAATGGAAGGTAGCCTCGTGGGACAGAGCCCTTAACCTATGAGGGCTCAGTAGTGGGTCAGTAGAGTCAGAACTGAACTCAGTTGTAGAGTACCCAGGTGATGTCTGGAGAGGTAGAGAATTTTGGTGTGGGACTCACACATCTGGCCACAGAAGTGTTGGGAATACTAAGTGAGAGTTTAAAGAAAGATAGCAGGATTTTCCTAAATGGCATGTAAGGAACCGGCGGTACCAAGAGCTTATGTGGCATGACCAAGGTCACACAGGATGAGATGGACAGTAGGCAGCCCAGGAGTTGGGCCATGTTCTAGCCTTTGGGTCTGATCTGCTCAAGGGAATAATGTCAACCCCACACTTCTGAGCCCACAGTAGCTCAGGAAAGGAGGAGGAGCCTTGGAGCAGAGGGATCTGAGAGGCAGAGAGAAGCACTCACCTTTCAAAGGAGGCCATTCGGTCTTTCAGAGCCTGCACAAAAGGGAGGATCCAATGGTGGCGCAGAACCACGCTCTGAGACAGGCTGAGGTGGAACGCCTCCATCTTCACCAGCCGGGGCACGTAGGCCTGGGCCTGGGGCAGCAGCATGTCAAGAAGATCTGGGAATTCCTCCCTGGCTTCATCTGGAGGGAAGGGGGAGAGGGTAGGCCGTTATCTTAGCCAAGGTGTCATGGCTTCCTGAAGAAGCTCGGAAGGCAGAGAAGCCCTTATTACTCTGGTTTTGAGAGTAGCCTATGTCTGTACAGCCTAATGTTTTAATGTTCATTTCTGCTTATAGAAGCAACATGTGCTCATTGTAACAATTCAAGTACACAAGAAATGTACAGGGGACTTCTGGTTTCCGTCTGGCATATAAGCAGCTTGGAAGTTGTCACCCCATTCTAACAAGTAAAATGCTCAACAAACTGAAAAAGCAGCAGCTCTTCCTAGATCTATAGGAGAAGTGAGAGACCCACAGGTGAATACAGAGACTTAGAAATTAGGGGACCAGAAACACATGAGCCCAAATCTGCTGGAACAAGGGCCAGGACTCTAATAGTCAGTGGTAACAGGTAAACGACTGGAAACTCAGGGTGTAGAAATGAAAAGTTAGAAGCTCCAGGAGGACCTACAGAGCAATGCCCAAACTGTGAAGTTTATCTCCTGGAGGTCTACCAGGTTTTCACAGAATTTCAGAGAAAAATCCTCTTGTGCCTCTGGCAGGAGACAGAAACCATTTAGAAAAAGTGGAAGCTGTTTTTCTTACTAAGGTCTACCTTACGAAAAACTCTTACCAGAGCCTAATGTGCTGGGCTTTTATCACAGCTTAACTCTGGGGAAGGAAAACATCCAACTCCAGCTGCCTCTATCCTTCCTGTCCCATCTGAGAAGGGAAAAACCCAAAAAGCCTGTGAGAGGGTCACAATGCAGAGGCTCTGGCTCCCAGAAGATGGAACCTCATCCCATGGCTGCAGCATGCTCCCCCTGCCCATCTTACTGAAGGCCCATTTACCATGGTCCTTACATGGTAGATCATGTCCAGCTATGAAGAAAACATTGTAAGACATAATAGCCTGGCAGGGTAGTGCATTCCTGTAATCCTAGCACTCAAGAGGCTGAGGCAGGAGGATCACCACGAGTTCGAGGCCAGCCTGGGCTATACAGTGAGTTGAAGGGCAGTCTGAACTACACAGTCAGACTCTGTCTAAAAAACATAAACTATAAACAATCCCTCAACAAACAAAAACACATAATAAAAGGCAAAAATATAGTTTACAGAGATAGAGAAAACATCAGAACTCTGTAAAAAATTTTAAAAACTAGAAATCATACAATGTCTGATTTCAGGCCACAATGGAAGTGAACTAGAAATCAATGACAGATTAGCCAGAGAATGCCCAGATGCTTAGAAATTAAACATACTCTGAAAAAAAATCTCAAGAAAGGTTAAAAATACAGTACTTTTAACTAAGTGAAAAAATACAACTTGTCAAAACTTGTAAGATGCAATAAAAGTGCTTGGAACAATACATGTAGCATTAAAAAACAAGCATTAAAGCATATATTAGAAGATCTAAAATCTGTCATCTAAGCCTTCACTTTAGGAATCTAGAAAAAGATAACAAAATTCAATTCAAAGTAAGCAAAAGAAAAGTAATAAAAATTAGAGCAAAAATCAATGAAATTGAAAATAGAAAATTTACAGAGAAAATCAACAAATCCAAAAGCTGGTGGCTATGGTTTGAATACGGGTAGTCCATATTCTGATTGCTAAATCACTTATTAGTTATTAGAAGTGATAAGATACATTTCATTAAACTTAAAATTTTCTGCTCTGTGAAAGACACTGTCAAGAGAATAAAAAGACAAACTGGGCATGGTGGCACATAACTGTAATCCCAGCATTCTGAGAGGCTGTGGCAAAGGACTGCAAGTTCAAGCCCAGTCTGGGCAATTCAGCAACCTAGCAAGACCCTGTCTAAAAAAATAAATAAATAAAAACGGGCTGGGGATGTAGCTTGGTGTGAAGGCCCTGGGCTCAATCGTCAGTGTCAGAAACAATCACCATTAACAAAAAACCAAACCAAACAAAACAGCACAAAAAAAACTTTCCGAGAGAATAAACTGGGGGTATATATATTTGCAAAAGATATATCTGATAAGGAACACTAAAAAATATAGAAAGAATTTAAAAACTCAACAATAAGAAAACAACTTGATTAAGAAATGGGCCCAAAACCTTAATATACATCTCACTGAAGAAGATATACAGATAGCAAAAAGCATAGAAAAAGACGGTGCCATATCGTATGTCACAGGGAAATGCAACTAAGTGACAATGGTGAGGTCCCACTTTACACCTATTAGAACACTGACAACACCAGTGCTGGGGAGGGTGTGAAGTAACCGAGTCTCTTATTCATGCCAGTGGGGTGTAAAGTGGTACAGCCATGGTGGAAGGCAGCTCAGTGATTTCTTTAAAAAGCTAAACATACTATTACCATACAATCCAGGGATCTTATTCCTAGTATTTACCCAAAGTTGAAAACTTGTGTCCACACAAATGTCTGTAGCAGCTTTATTCATAACTGCCAAAACTTGGAAGCAACCAAAATATCCTTTAGTAGGTGGACAAACTGTGGTCTATCCCGACAAAGGGATATTATTTAGGGCTAAAAAGAAATGAGATGGCAAGCCATGACCAGACATGAAGGAACCTCAGATGCATACTATTAAGTGAAAGAAGCCAATCTGAAAATGCTACGTATTTACTGATCCCAGCTATATGACATTCTGGGAAAGGCAAACCATGGAGATGGTTAAAAGGTCATTGGTTAACAGGGGTCAGACAGAGGGGAGAGATGATGAAGCGGACAACAGTGGACTCTTAGGGCAGTGAAACTACTCTATATGGCATATGGTAGATAGAAGTCTTTATAAATTTGTCCAAACCTATAGAGCGCACAACACCAAGCGTGAACCCTAATACAAACTATGGACTCTGGGTGCCCATGGGGTGCCAATGTAGGCAACAGTTGTGACAAATGTACCATTCTGTGAGATGTTGGTAATGGGTGAGGCTACACAAAATACTAAGAGCCACTACTTACTCTGTGTACTGTGTAAACACTTGACCTAGATTATCTGATTTAATCTTCCTGGGAGATAGGCATTACTATTATCCTCAGTTTAGAAGTGAGGAAACTGAGACTAATTTATAAAGGACACCCAGAATAGTGGGTAGTAGAGTAGGGTCTGACTCTGAAGCCTGGGCATTTTTTGCCTAGCTGCCATCAGGGCGGGGTGGGATGTACTCTTCCTCCTAGTTGTGGCTTTATGCCTCCCAAGAGGCACCTATTGGTCTCAGCCACTTGCCTTCCATACATGCATGACTCACATGGTACATAGACATGGGTGACCCAGTTGCCACGCTCGTGGGGAAAGGTACGCACTCGTCCCCCATGTTTTGCACTGTCATCCTCAGGTCCTTCCTCTGTGCCCGGGAACATGTTCAGTACACTGTCAGGTACTGGAAACCTCTCATTGGGAAGGGGGCTCTGGCCACTGCAAGAAAAAAAAAAAGCACATTTATCCTCTTAGCATCCTCTAACTCTGTACATACAATAAAGGTTGTAACTCTTAATACACAGTGACTCTGAGTGTAGATTTCCAGGGACGTAATGGAAGGAGCTTCTAGAGAGCCACACAGCCATCCTGGGGTCTCCCAACAACTCTGGGAAGAACTTAGCAGGAAACTTGGTCCCCACGGAAATCACCTTGGGCAGCCAACAATGTGTGGTTCAAAGGTCACATTCCCTGGCTGGACAGATCTGAGCTGGAGTAGCAGTTTTGTGATCTTGAACAGGGGATGTACCCTTTTTGCATACATCAGTTTCCTCATGTGTAAAGCCTATTTCTACCTGATAGACCTATTGTATGATCAAGTGAGGTACTACTTGTAAAGCACTCAGCCTTACTACATAAGAGGATTTGATGGTTTTTGTTTGCTAGAATCTCCAGTTTGGTTCAGTGCAGGTGTTCAATGAATATTAGACGAATTAAAAAGCTCTCCATATGCTTTAGCTATTATTATTATTACTGCAACTGTGGTCCAGTGAGGAAAGAGAAGTAGGATGGTACAGTGTCGCTCTCCAGGGGATAGTGTGCCCATCTAGTAGTGCCCTGCCTCCTAAACATGCCCCAGCCGGGTGGGGGCACTCCGGAGTTCTGTCCAGAGGTGTCCTCCGGATCCTCCTTCCCCTGTACCCCCTTTTCCTTCCCCGGAAGCCGTCCCGAACCCCCATCCCCCCTCAGACGCTCCGGTACGGCCGGGGTCTCAAGCGAATCCCCGCCTTCCCGAAGGACTTCTTCGTTCCTCACCGGCAGTGGCCCCCAGACCCCGGGCTGGTCTGCTCGGTGACCGCGGCCTCGGCCTCATCCTCCGAGCCGCTGCTGCTGTAGCCCACCAGGGGCGCCGCGCTCATGGGGCCGCGCCCGAGACCACAGGCCGGGTCCGAAGGCAACCTCACCCCGTACCCGGAGTTCCGCTGAGCGGAAGTGCACTGCGGGGGCGGGACCTGGGGTAGCACCACCTCGGGGCGGGACCGACTAAGACAGTAGTTAAGGCTGTGCTCCGGGCGCCTGATGGCTGTGAGTGCTGCGCCCGCTGGGCCGTGATGTGCCCGTTTCACAGGTCCCGGAACCCTCTCTGCAAACAGGTCCAAAGTCTGAGCCCCGGGGCTCTCCCCTCGGAGCCAAGCTGAACGCTTAGGACGCGTCAGTCGTTAAGACCGGAGGGTCCCAGCGGCCCCTCGCCGTCAGGTGCAGGAGTCGGGCCAGGGGCGGACCTGGGTGCCTCCTCCCCTAAGGCTTGGCGGGATAGGCGCGAGAAGTGCGCCCTCCCTCGGTCAGCCGAAGCGTGCCCGCCGGCGGCTCGAGCGCCTCCCAGCTCAACCGGCGTGTCCGACCGGGGTGGCCGCGGGGTCCCCGGCAGGGGGCGGCCTCGCTCCGCACCGCCCGCTCCTCCCGCAGCCGTTGCCGCCGCAGCTCCGGCTGCCGCTCCTCCTCCGGCCCCGCCTCCCCGGCCCCGCGCCGTCCGCTCGCCCGTCCGTCTCCGCAAGGCCATCGGTCCATCGGTCCTTCCGCCCGCCCGTCCGCCCACCCTCCCGGCGCTCCTCAGTCCCGGCTAGCTATTCCGGCCGCGCGCTTAGCTTCCTTGGTTCCAGCCGCAGAAAGCCCGCTCCTTTTCCCCAGGCCGGCCGCCGCCGCTACGCTAGGCCGAGGATTGGCAGCGCGCGTAGGCCGCGCCGCCCCTGATGGAGCTGGAATAAAGCAGTGGCCGAGAGAGCAGCTGCTTGCCGCTCGCCCCGCGCCTGGCGCTACGGGCGGCCTGGAGCAGGTGAGAGGCGGGGCTCCCGGGGCGCTGTCTGGGGGCCATTCCCGCGCCCGCTGCACCCCCTTCCCAGTCGGGCTGGCCGCCCCCCTCCTCGACCCCGCGGCCTCCTGAGCCCCTGAGCGGCCCAGGCCCGGCCTCGAAGCGCTGCTGCTTCCCAGGCCCGGCCTGCGGCCCTAGGGCCTTTCTTGGGCTCAGCCATTCACTCTTGAGCCACAGTGGCCCGGCCATCCAGCGCGAGTGCTGACAGGAGGCAACCCAGCTGGGCCAGCCGGCAGGGCGGTGGGAGGTGATTGGCTTTCACTTGGTTTGCTAGGGAGGAAGGAGGGCTGGGATGGGGCGCAGGTGGGGCCTCCCCTTGTTTTCCTACCCCTCCCCTTTGCAGAGTGATCGAAGAGGTTCCTGGCAGCACCTTCTTGGAGGAGAGCCAGGGTGGGTAGTGGGGTTGCAGCTAGGCCGGGGTGTGGTGGGGGCTGGATCTGGCAGCCATTCATGCCAGGAAAAACACAGTTGGATTGGTGCAGCCAGACCTAGATAGTGCTCAAGGCATCCCACCTTTCCCCTTCATGCTCTAGGAAGGCTTAGATAACCAAGTGTCACCTAATGGTTCGTACAACCTGCTTGCTGCCTCCAGCAAGAACAATCTCCCCTTTCCTTCCTCCCTTCCTGGAAGATGCTGAGGATCACAACTCTTAGCTTAACTTTTAATGTTTTTTTGGGCACAACTCTCAGAAGCCAGCATGGTCTGAAGGCATCTTCTATCCTTCCTCCTCTTGGGAGAAAACTTTAAAACTTTTAAAATGTAACAGGCATGAGCCAGGAATCTAGAAGTAGGTTGCCTCTGACTAAAAGTTCCTTCCTCTCTCTGGCATTATGTTATGCTGCCACAAAGTGGTGAGTTAGAGATTTGCCTGGGCTGAATGGGCCTTACCTTCCATTGATTATCCAGGAGGTTATAGACCTGGAACAAGGGAATGGATTGTCTCCAGAGAGGAGATAAGGAGAAATGCTTGTTTTTAGCATGCTACATCCTACATTTGTGGAGGTAGACGAGTGCAATTTCTTAGTTTTTCTGCGGACCATGACAGAGACAATCAGAGGATTTAGAACTTTTTTGTGATGCTCTGGGAAATGATCAGAGTGAGGAAGTTCTGCATTGGACATCGAGGCTGGGGCAGTGAAACCTATCTTCTGTTAACATATCTTCTAACCCCCATCACCCATGGGTTCAGGTCCCTGCAGGGCCATCCTTCCTGTTAGGTAGAGAGAAAAAAGGCATGTGGCTAGAGTGGAGGGTCTGGAGATAGTGCAGGGGGCTGTGGGTGATTTTCTCATGGCAGAGGGTTTTTGATGTGGTCTTTGGTTCCACAGAGTTGTCCTAATATGACTGCCAGAGGCCTTTTGTGATTGAGCTCTCAGATGGCTAGGTGTGGGCTCTTTGGATCAACAGACTGGTCCTCTGAGCAGTGGTGGGTGTCCTGGATTTGTTCACAAGGTGACAAGTGGAAGGGTGGTTGGCAGACCTCAGGGAGACCTTGGCATTATGGACAGATCACCCCAGACTCACCTGTGAGACACTTTTCTGAGGAGAGTTGGCTGGAAGCTAGAGGGGACTCAGTGGATGTCTTGGCCCAGGGATAGAGAACTGAGGTAGGGAGGAGTGGAGACAGCTGCTGTCTACTTTGCCTTAAGATGCTGAGCTTCCAGCAGACTTCGGTGGCATGTGGGGGAGCAGGTCTCCCAGCTCTGCGCATCTCCTTTCCTTGATGTGGTCTGTGTCCGTGTGACAGGTACAGCCAACACAGGGAGAGGATCCAGGGAAGGCTGCTTGTTCCTGACTCCAGCTCACAATCTCTCTCTTCCCTACAGAACCGATCTTTGGGAAGGCAGAGCCTCCCTGGCATTGTTGGGACCCTGCCTTGAAGAGCCCCCTGTCCTGTAGACACATCCTTGTAGTCTGTCTGCTTGGTTAATGACTGGGGCTGTCTGACCCATCCTCTTCTGTGCCTTATCTGAGGTCCTTGTCCATCCCTGAGATCAGGCAGCTTCTCTCTCTGGGTTGGGTCACTATAAGCGGGAAACTGAAGCCGTTACTCTCCAAGCCTTGTTTCATCTTCCCAAGCATGTCGGAAACCTGGCAGCAGCCGCCACAGACACAGCCGCAGCAGCCGCAGCCACCGCAGCCTCAGCACCATGCAGAACCACCACCTGCCCTCACAGAGCACACGCTGCCCCCGGGAACGGCTGAGAACCCCCTAGGCTGTGCTGTCTATGGCATCCTCCTACAGCCAGACCCAGGCCTGCAGCCCCCACAGCATGCACCCCTCCAGGCAGCTGGCGAGCAGGCCCCCAAGTGCGGGGTGTGTGGTCATGACCTGGCACACCTGTCCAGCCCACATGAGCACCAGTGCCTGGCAGGCCATGACCGCTCGTTCCAGTGCACCCAGTGTCTCAAGATCTTCCACCAGGCCACGGACCTGCTGGAGCACCAGTGTGTGCAGGCTGAGCAGAAGCCTTTCGTCTGTGGTGTCTGCAAGATGGGCTTCTCTCTGCTTACTTCCCTGGCACAGCACCACAGTGCCCATACTGGCCTTGTGAAGTGCTCCATCTGTGAGAAGACCTACAAGCCAGCGGAGGCCACTGAGCCAGCCACCACTACGGGCCCTTCACTTCCCCCTGCACCCCCACCTCCTGCTGTGGCCCCTACAGAGCAGCCTGAAAAGCCCTACAGCTGCCCCATCTGCCAGAAGCCCTTCAAGCACCTGTCAGAGCTCTCTCGCCATGAGCGGATCCACACCGGTGAGAAGCCCTACAAGTGCACGCTGTGTGACAAGAGCTTCAGCCAGTCGTCCCACTTGGTGCACCACAAGCGCACGCACAGCTCGGAGCGGCCCTATAAGTGTGCCGTGTGTGAGAAGACCTTCAAGCACCGCTCTCACCTGGTGCGCCACATGTACGCTCACTCGGGCGAGCACCACCTCTTCCGCTGCAACGTGTGTGAGCTGCACTTCAAAGAGTCATCAGAACTGCTGCAGCACCCGTGCACCCCGAGTAGCGAGCGGCCCTTCCGCTGCGGTGAGTGCCAGAAGGCCTTCAAGCGGCCGTCGGACCTGCGGCAGCATGAGCGAACGCACAGTGCCGAGCGGCCCTTCAAGTGCGACCTGTGCCCCATGGGCTTCAAGCAGCAGTACGCGCTCATGCGGCATCGGCGCACACACAAGACTGAAGAGCCCTTTAAGTGTGGCCTGTGCGAGAAGGGCTTTGGTCAGCCTAGCCACCTTCTGTACCACCAACATGTGCATACCCTTGAGACTCTCTTCAAGTGCCCCGTGTGCCAGAAGGGCTTTGACCAGTCGGCTGAGCTGCTGCGGCACAAGTGCTTGCCGGGCTCCACTGAGCGGCCCTTCAAATGCCCTGTATGCAACAAGGCCTACAAGCGGGCATCAGCCCTGCAAAAGCACCAGTTGGTGCACTGCTCAGCAGCCGAGAAGCCCCTGCGTTGCACGCTGTGTGATCGCCGCTTCTTTTCCTCCTCAGAGTTTGTGCAGCACCGCTGCGACCCTGCACGTGAGAAGCCCCTTAAGTGCCCAGACTGTGAGAAGCGCTTCAAGTATGCTTCAGACCTGCAGCGCCACCGTCGGGTACACACTGGCGAGAAGCCCTACAAGTGCCCCAACTGTGACAAAGCCTTCAAGCAGCGTGAGCATCTCAACAAGCACCAGGGTGTGCACGCCCGCGAGCAGCAGTTCAAGTGTGTGTGGTGTGGTGAGCGTTTCCTGGATGTGGCCTTGCTGCAGGAGCACAGCGCCCAACACAGTGCTGCAGCTGCAGCTGCTGAGGGTGCCTACCAGGTGGCTGCCTGCTTGCCCTGACACCTGTGGCCCACTGGGCCCAGTCCAACCTCACCTCCTTATGGCTTCCTTACAGCTGCATCATACCAAGGCCCCCACCCAGCTCAGTGTTCTGAGTCCCTGAGCGTGAGGACAAAAGGGTACTGGGCAGGTTGAAGGTGTGCAGTGCCAAGCACTCCTGGCACCAGCCTGTCAGTGGGGAGAGCCAGATACTGGTTCCTTAAACTTTTCCCACCACAGGAATCCTTCCAGAGAGCTGTCAGCCTCCCTCATGTCTGGGGACTGGAATCCCACTGGCAGTCAAATGGCTCCAACCTTCTCAAATCTTCCAGCCTAGTTAGAAATCAGATGGGGGGTGGGGGCTGGTTATGGTAGGGCCTAGACCCCAGAGGTAGCCTGGGGGTAGGGCATCCCTGTCAAGTTGGTGTTTAAGGAGGAAGGCCAGTTTTGTGATGTAATCCTGGGGATGAGGAGGGCAGATGGGGAGCCACAGCCTCTGCTCCAGCCAAAGGTGATGTGTCCCCCCAGGTTTCTGACAGTCAAGATGTTCAAGACAGGAGTCTGGGAAGGGTCTGCCTGGAGACCAGTGAACCTAGCCAGGAGCTGGGAAGCAGAGACATTCCTATGATACCTTCGAGCAGGGACAGTGGTATCCAGGGGGAAGGAGGATGAGCAGCCTATTTGTGCTGAGGGTTTATTCCATAGCTTTGGAAGCACACTTTGCAGTGTGGCTCTGAGTTCTGGTAGGGGGCTGCAGATGTGAAAGGAGGGAACAGAGAGACCTCCAGGGTTCAGAGGAAGTAGGCCAAGCCCATGATGTCCCCAGCAGATGCACAAGTGTCCTCCCCACAAATTGTGTGAACCAAAGTGTCTGGGGCTCAGGGGTGTGGTCCCAGTCAGCTAGCACCAGTCCTGCCTCAAGTCCCAGACCAGGCCCAGGTGCCAAGGTGGTAAATGGCCTCTGACCCCACAGTGCCGATCCAGTCCGTGGGAATACCACCCCTCCCATCAGTCTGGCTGCTGGCCCAGACCCTAGGGATCTTATGCTCTGGACAACATCCAGCTACTTCCAAGCCCAGAGTTCTCCTTTGGGGCTTCCTAGAGCCCGCTAGGTCTCTTGAGGCAGATGGTGTCCAGGGCATGGGGAAGAGGAGGAACAAGTAGGTTAAGGGATCCAGTAGGCAGTGTGCCCGTCAGGTGGGTAGAATCAACCAAGATCGCTGGTGGCTAGGGCCACCCTTTATTGTAAAAATTACCATTTTGAGCCCAGCTCCACCTGTTCCTGGTCTTAAAGAAGACTGATCGGTACACATGCCAAGGGCTGGAGGGGCAGGAAGACACAGCCTCACCTCTGACCTTTCGGAATCTGCACAGCCACGTCCACCGTGTCTATTTGACGGGGTTCCCTTCTGTGCTGCAGAGAGGGGTGGGCCTTTCCCCTTGTGCTGGTGCTTGGTCATAATGCCTCAAGACTGGAATCCAGCCCCCGACAGTCCCAACTGCTAAATTTTTCCTTTCATTTTGCTTTCTAAAAGCAGATTGTTATACTATTCATAACATTGTAGTTTAATTTCATGTCATTTTGGATCTTATATATAAATGTGAGAATTTGAATTTTTAAAAAGAATGACTCCATTCTAGGTAGCCACTTTTGATGTTAATATATAGTGAGTCCAATGTATGCTTTAGAAGTAAAGACATTGACTGTCACAGACCAAAGCTTTGCTTGTTCTGTTTGTGCTTCCACAGGGGAATGATGGGACACAGAGGCAGGCTGGGATCTGGGACTCAAGGGTGGATTTGCACCTAAAGTTTTGGACGCTCTGGCTGTGTGGCCTTGACAATTTGCTTAACCTCCTTGGGACTCAGCTGGCTCATCTGTTTGGAAAAAAATAGGTTAACCCTTGTCTTGCTTGGCTGTTGTGAGATCATATGGCGTTATTGGTGAGGCCCCAGTGGGGAAACTGAAAGTGCTGGCAATACCAACTGCAGGACACACGGGGCCCTTGAGAGTGGACCTGCCTGCCATTGACCTTGGGGCTTTATCACAGCACTTGAGGGAGTTGGGCCGTGAGGGACAAGTGAGGCAGGGAAGGTCAGAGGGCTGGGACTGGTAATGGTACAAGAAAACTTGCTTATACCCTCCCTGGAGCAGTGGCCAACCCAGCTAGCCCTGCCCTCCCCAGAGGCTGGCCTGGTCTTGCTTTACCACTGCCCACCCTGTCCCACAGAGACCCCTCTGCCTTCTACCTCAGTGCCTCCATACTGCTTTCCTCTGTGACCATCAGGCCCAACTGCAACTCAGTCTCTTTCTAATCCCTCCACCCAGTCTCTCATTGGGGATGGAACCTAGGGCCTTGCCCATGCTAGTCAAGTACTTGACTACTGAGCTACATCCCCAGCCCTCTTCCCATTTCTCAAAAGCAAGGGCAGGGCTGGAGAGATGGAGAAACGGTTCCCGGGTCTGGGCATCCGAGAGCCAGTGGAGGGTAGCCAGCAGAAGGACCAAGCCCTGGGTGGGTGGGGTGAGGGTAGAAAGTTAAAAGGAGAAGCTGTGTGCACTGCAGAGAACCCCAAAACTGGGTAAAGAAGGCTTACTAAAAGTCCAGGGACCCCAGATGTGCCCAGGCCCCGTGCTCCCTCTGCGTGACCCAGGGAGGGCCCTGCTCTTGAAAAGCCATATGGTTCCTTCTGCTGGCCTCTACCTCTCAGGAGGGGATGGCCAGGTCCCTTTGTGTCTTATACCAGGTTCAAATCCTGACTTACTTCCTAGCCACATGACCTTAGGCAAAACCTATCCACCTAGTAGGCAGGGTGGACCTACATATTCCCTGTGTGAGGAACTTTCAGAGGTTCAGGACTTGTCCAAAGTTGTACACAGTGATGCAAGCGGCCTGGATTGTGGGGGCTGGCCACATGAATCTGGTATATACACATGGGTGGAAGACAGACAGTGGGGCCAGGACAGTCCTGTGCCCTGAACCACACAGGCCTCCAGCTCTGACCACTGGTGCCTGAGACCCTGGCTTCAACCCAACCTTTGCTGGGCAGGAAGCTGGTGACAGTGGCCAGGACTGGTCCCAGCACTGGTTCTGACCCAGGGAGCAGGAAAGCTCTCCCCAGCAGGCAGAGGGGGTGGCCAGCCCCTCTGGCCCACTCTCAGCTGCTTAAGGTATCAAAACTCGTGTACCACCATTAGCTCCCTTAAGGGCCAAGCCTCCTGGACACTGTCATGGAGGACCCTCTCGCCTCTTCTGGCCTGCATCCTGGCCCCTGAGGCCCTGTTTCTCCTTCCTCTGGAGCAGGCTTCTGCCCAGACCATGGTCTGCTCAGGCCGTAGAAACTCACCCAAGGCCTCCCAGCCACACTTTCCCAGGACAAGCTCCACAACCCATCCAAAAGCGAGTGGTTTCTTTGTTCTTTGAAGGTCACGCCTCCAGGAAGAGCCTTGGCTGCATTGATTTTCTCAAATCTACAAACATTCCAGCTGAACAGTCTGAAAAGGAGATGGGGGGTGGGGTGGGAGGCTGTGGGGTCTCTGTCTTCACTGTGTATGTCTGCATTCCTGCCTTTGTTCATCCACAAGCATTACTGAGCACCTGCTGTTCCTCAGCCCATGCCACATGACACAAAGTAAGAACTGCAGATAAGAGAGTTTTGAGATTTTCATGAATCAAAGGTAGGATCAAAATATGTCAAAACTGCTGATATTTAGTATAAAATTTTATGTGCAAAAGTCCTTCCTGAGACTCTCCTTCCATCCCACCCTTAGCTTGGATGCTTACCCAATTCCTGAGCCTGCCCAAGTGCCAACCCCAGGCCCTGGGTTATCATGTATGTTTTGCATGTTGCTTTGTAATAAACACCACTATGATACTATGATTTTGTAGTAGCATTCATTTATTGTAGATGTGTGTGATGGTTCTGAGGGACCTCAGGCCCCATTCCTGAGCCTCAGTTAGCTCAAGCAAGCCCACTGTGGGCTAGAGGGTATGAGCCCCTGGAAGCTGCTGTCCTTGTCCTCATGGTCTTGGGGAAGAATAGGGGAGAAAGGAGGGCCTAAGAGAGATCTTCCTGGAAGAAAGGGTGGGGTTGGGTAAGAAGGGGCGAAGGAATGATCTGGTAGGAAGATGACTCTGAACAGAGGTTCAGAGGCAGACAAGTGCCGGGGGCACTAGGACAGCAGGAGGCCGGTGGTGAGGTTTGTGTTGGGGTAACAGGATATTGGATTAGGGTCACCATGGAAAGCCTGAGGGCAAGATCACAGTGGCTAGTCTGTCCCCAAGGTTGTGTCTAGTGAGGATTTCTGACATGATTTCTTTGTGATGAGCGAAGAATCCCTGGAGGCTAAGCCCTGGGGACCATGGCTACTGCCATCAACTCTGAGGGCTTTCTCCCCACACCCCCTTTCTGTCTTTCAAGCATGGGACTTACTGTGTTGCCCAGGGTGGTCTTGAATCCCAAGGCTCAAGCCATCTTCTCAGGATTCCAGGCCCATGCTGCTGGTCTTGGTTTTTAAAATTTTTTGTGGGGGGTTGTTTTTTAGACAAGGGTCTCACTATGTTCAGATTAGCCTTGAACTTACTATGTAGCCCAAGCAGGCCTCAAACTCAGGGCAATCCTCCTGTCTCAGCCTCCCAAGAACTAGGAGTACAGGCATGCACCACCACACCCAGCCACTCTTGGCTTCTGAGAGCTTCCTGATGGGACATCCTGCCTCCTTCTGAGCTCTACCCAGATGCCCTCAGGAAGCAGCCCCCATGTCCTCCCTCCACTTGGCTTGCCAAGAACAGGAAAGCAGAATGTGATGGCCACAGATCCATGGGTAAGACAGGCTGGCTTCAATCCCCAGCTCTGCCAATCACTAGCTGCATGATCTTGTGCCAGTCATATAACCACCACAGCTACATTTTATCGTCTGACAAATGGTTTTAAATTACCCACCTGTGGGGTCTGCAAAGCACTTAATGCCTTGTCTTCCATTTAAGAACAGAAAGTACTTGTGTATACCTTCCTTATCTGTTGCCTTTATTCTTAGGCATGCTTTTTTATATTTATGAAACCAGGATTAAGAGTATAATGGGTGGCCATGAACCTGTAATGAAATTGTTGGCATGGGTTACCGTCCATGGTGTCCTGGGCTGGAGGAGCATGGTTTCAGGTTGGAATTGGCTGGAATTGCCTGTCTCTCCCATTGGACTGGAAGCACCACAGAGGCAGGGATGGCATCTTGTCTGTGTCACCCCAGCATTCAGGGACAGGGCCTAAATGTTTGCTGGGCCACATTCTGGGATGGACTTGCTCATTCAGGTATAAACCCACATTCTGCTGCCTCACAGGGATAAGAGGCCATAGGCTGAGGCAGCAACCCACCCCAGAGCCTGCCTCCAGGAAGCCCCTTAGAGCACACTGGTATGGCAGGGCTTCAGAAAGAGGCCCCAACAAATCCCTTTCTAACCCCTCCTTGAGAATCTGAGGTGGGGAGGGGTTTGGGCAGGGGCTGCAGGCAAAGGACAGGAGCACAAGAAACCCCACTCCTAGATGTGCCCTTGACCTCAATGCTCGCTGGGCTTGAGGTTTTGACTCCAAGCCTCTGCCAAGGCCACCACACATCCTTTCCCAGGCCATGGTTCTCCAGGAGTTGGCAGGGAACAAGCAAAGTAAAACACTCATCCTATGCTCCTGACCCTCTCCCATCCTCCTTTCTCCCCCCCACCCCCACAGGGCCTCCCTGAGGAAGCATTACATTTATTTCTAGTCAAGAAGTGGGTGGTTCCACTATATGCCCTTTTGTCCCACTGGGGGATCTGAGGGGCATGGTCCTGTAGTCTGGGTGTTGGCTGGCCTTCTTTACACCGATTAATGCCAAGGGGTCAGGTAATTGATACGGCTGTGGAGAGAAATAGGGGTTAGGTGAGGCCACCAGACTATCCTGTAGAAAAATTAGGCCTTCTCAAGGTCAGTGATGGTGAACCTGTGGAACATATGCCACAGCAGGATGTTTATTATCATTGAAGGCTCTAAAAGTTTTGTCATCACTGCTCTAGGCCTTCCCCTCAAATCCACCTTCCTACCTGCATGCTCTGAAAACAGTTTCCATCAAGCTTCTGTGTAGCTCAAAAGCCTTCTATAGCTCCCTATTTCCTTATATATTTTCCACTGTTTTCCTTGGCTTTCACATTCTCCCCTCATGCCTCCAGTTTGCCTCATCCTTATCTCCTACTGACCCCCTACTTTGAACTGCTTCACCTATGTTTTTGTTTTGTTTTGTTTTTTTGGTGCCGGGGATCAAACTCGGGTCCTTATGCTTGCAAGGCAGGTGACAGAACCACTGAGCTAAATCCCCGGCCCCTGCTTCACCTACTTTTCAGTCATTAGTGAACATATTCTGTTAGGCATCCCATGGTAGTATAAACCAGAATGCAGTGAAAGGCAACTTACTGCCAGTAGTGAGAGTGTAGTAGTCCAGATGCTATAAACTACAGGTGGTGGCCAAATGGAGGGAGTGTGAGCTGGGGGGTAGCAGAAGGTCAAGGGATACTTCAAGGAGGATGAGATGTCTGGGTTGGGCTTTAAAGAGTGAGGAGAAGTTGTGAGGCAGAGGAGAAAGTATTACAGACAGCTAAGTTAGTTAAAATATTATAGGCAGTTAGACAGGGCTAGGCCCTGGAGAGAATCAATGCAGAAGATAAGAACATATTACAACTGTGGCTGGAGGCACATTCTTTAAAGGTCAGGCTTCAAGACAAGGAGAAATGACTACAGCTACATACTTCCCCTAGGGATGAACAGCAATGATTTATATTCTAAGTAGGCATCAATCACCTTGGGTGGGGGACCAAAACCTCCCTAGCCCATTCCTTCCCAGAAAATCCTTGTTAGTTCCATGTACCCTTGCTTGCTACGTGACTTGCTTCCCCATTTGATCCCCATTTAATCAATATTACCTAAGTGACTATATTTGTAAGTATATGTATAATCAATAAGTTGACTATAGTTTTGTCCCACCTTATACCTGCCTCACCTGTGGCTTTGCTCTATAAAACTCCCTTGAAAAATGGGGTCCTTGGGCAACCCACTATCTGGACCCCTTTATGTTTTTCTTAGACAGCAGCTATCTTTTTCTCAATAAATATTTCTTGCTCTTAACCTCCATTGTTCCCAGAATTCATCTTTCAATTTTAGAGAACATGAACTTGGCATATTGGACATTAGCAGGTTGGGAGTTACATTGTTTCCCTTGTATTATTTGGAGGTCCATATAGTATCCCTATATCATATGCCCTATATAATTTGGAGGTCCCACTGAGATAATTGGATGGAGGTAAGAGTTTGTTTTTGTTTCATAGATTCTGGATTGTGACTTGCTTAGGTAATCAAAATTGTCTTGAATTTTTATGCCTTATGTCTTGAATTTTTGTCAGTTGCTTATGCCTTGTTTCTCTTTTATGCATTGTCTTTTGTTAAAATGATGGTAAATTTAAGTTGAGAACATGGGAAGATATGTTCCATCAAAGAAAGTGACATTTTACATTTTATTCCTGTTTTGTATATGTTGCATTTGGACTTAATTGCTGAATTTATTGGTGTTCTTGACCTGTTGACTGTTATGGTTTGTTATCGCAGACAAGTGTTAGGGAAAAAGTAGTGTTAGAGCACCCCCTAGTGGACCTTGATATAAAATTCTGTAAAATGGGTTTTTAAAAAAATGAAATCTAGTTTATATTTAAGAAACATATATTCTTATTAATAAATCACTGGACCCCTTCTGCCAGTTAATAAGGCAATATTATTTTGCAGTTAAGAAGGCAGCCATTCTTAAGACTTGGGGGACAGGTTTCACTGAGACATTCTGGCCTGATCCTCTATACTCTGGAGAAAATGGTGAGCCTATTCTGCCTCAGTTTCCTTTCTGGTCTGATATTCTGCTGGTCAGGAGGCAATCTTAGCTTTTGCAATTCCCCATTCTTGCCTTTACAGGCTGAGAATGATGACTTATGAGCAAGTTGTCTCAATAATTCACCATGAGCATGAGAAGAAAAGACTTCCTTTTGCTGATCTTCTTTCTGATCTTTCCCTGCCATTTTACATTTTCCCTTTTACAGGCATGCAAGATTAGAAAAAAAGGAATCCTAAAATATCCCAACCTTTCCCTCCTATCCAACAATTAAGAACCTTTAAGTTGAGCCCATAGAAAATGAGTGTTTGCTAACACCTAAGACAGGAAAGTCATCTTAGATGAAGAACACATACCCACCCAGAAGAACACACATAAAAGTGATGTCCCCACTTAGTGTTCTGGGCAACAGTCTTTCTCAGGAGACTGAAACTGAGACCCCTTGGAAAGAAGCAACTTCTGGGTGAGACTAGAAGTAGCTAGTCTCACCTTAAGCACATTAAGGGACCAAAACACATTTAGTTTAAGGGAGAATCCCCAACCTCCTAGCTCTCTCTCTCTTTTCCTTCTAGATCTGGTTTTCATCATTTATGTGTGTAGGGAAGGAAAATACTTTGGCTAATAAGTTGTGGACTACATGTTGACTAGAAAGCCAGCTAGATTCCTTTTTGGAGACAAATCTCTGGTTGCATGAACCAGTGAAAGCTGAGAGGACAACTGAGGGGTTATGGCCATGGCAACTCTGGCAGATACCCAAAGTTTCCTCAGTGGAAACTGGGTCCCAACAGCCTGACTGGGTAACCAGCAGAAAAATCTCCATTTATCCATTGTCCCTACGTGCACTTCTCAGTGAGGTGAGAAGTAACTCTCTCAGCTATGTTCTGATATTCTCTGGCCCAGAGTGACCAGAGATGACACTGTTAAAGCCCTCTGATTAAGCCCTCATTAAGAGTTGAGCTACAGATTTTGATTTTTCTCTCTGCTATTAAGTTGAAAACCCTCCCACCCACCAAGTTTTTCCAACTCACTGAGAGTTAACCTTAAAACTTGAAAAAAAATTGATTAGCTAAACCACCTTATAGTTAGACCACTTCTCCCTCCAGGAAGTCAGGCTTAGGCAGCTTGGAACAACTGTTTGCCTTTCATGGAGGAGAATAGAAATCAGCTAGCAACTTACACTTATGCTTTGTATATACTAAGAGTAATAAAGGGCTTTAAGCCAGCCTTTCTCTTCTTCCATGTATGTGTAGAAAACAATAAATGTGCCTTTACTAACGTGTGAATTGTGGATGCTAGGTGATGGGTATAAGTTTAACCTGTGAACTTCAGAGACATAAAAATTTTAGATTAGACTTTGAATAGAGCATAGCCTTGTCTTGGTGCCAAGGAAGGTTCCTTAGGTGATTAGGTAGATAATACAAATGTTTTAGATGCTTCTTCACTCTAGGACCCAGGGCAAGATTTCTCTGAGCCATTTTACCAGACTCTATCGCTAGAGATGGTCTCTTTTACAGGTTGAGAGGTGCTCCAACTATTTCCAACTTGCTCTTTGATATTTTCTCACTCTCTTTCAAAGAATTAGACAATGGTTTACAATGGTTTACATCTCTTGATTATTGGTCTGCTAGCAATGCTTCCTTCTTTAAACATGATTGCTACAGCTGGAATCAATAGTAGCTTGCACTTTTAGAAACATCTGCTAGAATTAGGAGTATGAGTTTCTGGGGAAGATAGGATCATGAGCTGGTAAGGGATGGTTAGTTCAACCTGGCCTATCTTCCGGTTTCTCTCCAGAGGATGGGCACCTGCTCTGGACTAGTCACCTTGGGGATGCCTTGAGGATATAGGAATCAAGTAGAAATTAAAAGGTATGCCATTTTTTTTCTCTTGCATTTATGGGAAATTCAATATCAAAATCTCTTATTCCTTTTGTTGTGGCAGAGCAGAGCAGCTCAGTGCTATAGCTAAGTGTTACAGCTAAGTGCCACAGCTCAGAGCCATGGCTGAGTGTTACAACTCAGTGTTGCAGCCAAGTGCCACAGCTCTGAGACACAGCTGAGCTTTACAGCTCAGTGTGGTGGCTCTGGGTCACAGATCTCATAATTTAAAGACTTGAGAATCTGATGGTCAGTTGAAGAGGTGGAGAAAAAACCTTTATTATGCCGGTGAGCCCCAGTGGGCTCAGAGGAGTCTGAGCACTCTACCAGAAATGAGAGCCTCCTTATATAGGGATCTACATGGTAGGTGAGCATGCTCACTGAAGTGGGGGTGGGGGGTGGAGGGGGGTCGCCAGAGTTAAAGAACACTCCTGAGAGGGGTGGAGCTTAACAGAACATTCCTGAAAGGTCACGCAGTTCAATCACAAACCATTTTGATACATTGGGCAGGAGCAGCACAAACCTACAACTCCAAAACAAAACACTCTATGGAAAAAAAATGGAGGCAAGGCAAGGGCCTATCTTACTGTATAGCACTTCTCTAAAATGTACCAAAGTTAAAAGAGAAAAAAGGTCTGAATAGGTGACAAAAGATGGCTGAGCTGGAGGCTAAATGAAGGGAGTTGCCAGGATTCTTAAAACAAAATGGAATGCAGAAGAAAGTATTAATTATGATGCTATTTCACAACTAGGATCATACTGTATGAAAGAGAGAAAATGGTCAAAATTTCCTTATGTTCAGACTTTCTTTACATTAAGAATTAATCCTTACCTATATGAGAAATATAATTGTAAGCCACAGGAAAACCAGACACCTCTCACCCTTAAGGCATCCAGTATCACTGAGCCTGAGGCCACTCTTCGCCCTTTGGAACCTGAAGATGATGTTTCCAAGGCAACATTAATCAAAGTCTTGCCCATTATTACTGAGTCTGAGGCTTCCCCTACTAGCCCTTTGGGTGCTTCTGGGCCAGCTGTAATTAAAGCCTCTACAGGGCTTCATCCATCCTTAGTTAATGTTGTTCAGCCCCCTCAAGGACAATATCCCTTATAGGA